GGCAACAACCTGATCGGAGAAACCTCGCACACTGGCTTGACAATCTTTGCACACGGAAGCTTTTCTTTCACTCTAACATTGGCTATGGAAGGGACACCCGACACTTGGGTCGTAGTTGTCCTCAATGCCATGACTTTGTTGGTGACTGGATCTGGTCGTCGTCGACAACGATTCATCCGACGACGACTCGGATGTCGGATCTGACACCCGACTCCGCTGATTTGACCGATGATGGTGATGACTTTGACTGGGCACCGTGGCCGATGATGGTGTCATCCGCCAGATAGGGACATGCACGGCGGCGGAGATGTCGACGAGCTGCGATGGCGACCCGACGATTTGGCAACGGATGATGCAGGGCAAGGCAGGGGAGCGTGACTGGTGACGGTGATGATGCTGATTGCGACGGGATGAGAGACCGATGGTGAAGATGCCGAGCTGTGGGGAGTCGCGGACGTCGATTTGATTAAAGGCAGTGGCTACTAGAGAGTTCGCCGGACTGAGATTCTCCCCGGGAATTGATCTGCCATAGAGATTGATTGAAGGCGGAAAGGACTTCGCCTGGATGAGAGATGACCCTTACTGAGATGGGCCGGAGATGGTGGTGTTTATTTGTGATGGTGGAAGGATGAGATGGAAGAGGAGCAGCCTGGAAAAATCCTGCTCGTGATTGGAAATGAATGGACTAATGGTGGAAGCATGATTGACGAGGAGCAGCCTGGAGAATGCTCACTCATGACTGAGGATTGAAAAAGAACTTTGTATAGTGGAAACCGAAGAACAGAAGAATAGAGATTCGGAAACATGCAGTGATGTCAAAGCCGAGCCGAGTCGACCGGTCGAGCCGAGAAAACCGCCACCCGGCCATAAAACCGGCTCAAGTCAGCTATTTAGCCAGAGTGGTTAATTGGGGCGGTCGGCGAGCGGCCGAAGCGGTTAACCGCTCGAGCCGCTCAGCCGGCTTTTACCATTTGGGCCGGTTGCTTTAATAAAAAAAATTGAAAATGAAAATGAAAGGGGCTGAATGAAAACGTAACCCAAATTCAATTCATTTCTTTCGCCTTCCTTCGCGCAGCCAGACACGAAGACGGAAGAATGAAGAAGCCTCGCCCTCCGCAGTCATCGTTCACCGTCGCCGTTCGCCATCACTCGACGCCATATGTCGTCGCCATCTGTTACCTCCAGTTGCTCTCCACCGCGATGTGAGTCATCCTCTGGCTCTCTATCTCCTCTTTGTTCTTCGCGTTCTTGGTCCGCCGCCGCTTCCGCCGTGCGGGGGCAATAGACGTGGACCCCGCCAGAGCGTCCTCCTGCGGCGACGGGTTGAAAATGTGGCGATGGAATCGTTGAACATTATTTTGTCCTCGAGGATTATTCCGAGGGCGCCGTCTTCTTCTTCTTCTTGTTCTTGCTGGAAGTCATAGCCATAGTGGTCCTTGAATAATGGTGGGTAACCAAACGGGTCTTGTGAGTAGATCGCAGCTTCCAACGCCATAGGATAGGAGGGAGAGGTAAAAGACGGAACACCTTTCGCGCAAGGGACAGGGAGAATGCCGGCTGTTTATTAGGTACCGGTTCTCAAACGGTTTTTAAACGGTCTAATGCCGGCTGGACCACTAATGACCGAGCCGTTCACGTTACCGGGTCATACTCCGGCTCGGCTTTGACAGCATTGGAAAAATGGTATGAAACTCTACGTAACTCTTTTCTTCCTCTTCTTTTTCTTGGGCTTTCCCTCACTGGAATCTGATTGCAGCTCTGATACCATGATGAATTTGTGTATGAAGATTTTATTAATGGAAAGCTTGAATTGTACAGAATGGTTTCTACACTACTTATACATGAATGAAAGACTATAAGGAACAATAAATAACAATAACCATGCTAGATTGTAAGCATGGGCTGAAGTAGAGTAGAATGGGTGTGCTGCTGAAGTGCAGGGCAACATGGGCTGCCTGTTGAGCATCATGGGTGGCTCTAGAGCTGTCTGGAGTACAGCTCACAATATGGGCACATTTCATATTCAACACATCTCTTGCTAGTTAAAACCCTCATTCCACGTCGTGGAATCGGAGCAACTTCCGCCCTTGATTGCAATCATAATTTGTATTGTCTGCCAACTTAGTAGATCGAATGCGGGTTAAGACAATGATTAATATTGGTGATATTGAGAGATATTCTAGTATGTAGCATAGGGTAAAACTTCAACATTCACCCTAGAAATTACATCACAAGATGGCAGGAATTGAATATGAAACTGAGCAACCATTACTATATATAAAGGTAAACTTATTTTACTGTTGCCTAAGAGTTCTACTAATCTCACAGTACAGTCATTTTTCATGCTCTACCAACTATTTATATCATTATGTGTGATGGAGTGAGAAATAGAAACAATATAGCTCAATAAGATAATTAACCTATAATCTTTTTTGACAATAAGCAACCTTTTATTCCATCCGAAACCGGGAAAACTGTGGTCACATTACAGGAGTGGAGCAATAATATTGACAATTAAAATCCAATCCACTGGTAACGATCCCGCCCTAGCATGTCGTGCCACCCAATCCGCTAATCGATTCAAACGTCGAGGAACAAACTCAACACGAATCGATGGTGCAAGCCTGAGAAGAAGAACCATCTGCACAATGGTAGCCCGACACATCCAAGGCCATGCCGAGGGTTCCTGATGCAGCGCAAGGGAAAGCACCTGAAAATCTGTACGAATACAGGTTGGGATGTTATCCTGAGAAGCAACCCTAATAGCATTGAGAAGACCAAAAGCTTCTGCCTGAATCGGATGAGAACAAAGGAAGGTCTCAGTCTTGCCGTCGTACACGTGACCCTGAGAGTTAGCAATAGTAATCTCATATGCCGCCGGACTCGAGTTTGAGATGAACGACCCATCACAGAACATCACTCGGGTACAGGGCGGTGGTTCAGTGTTGAAACAGGAACCCCTAGACTGAGAAGGTAACTGAGTTGGCCGGTAAGGACCGAAGAAGGTGTCGAAACTCGAGCTTCTTCCCATTCAAGGATGTCACGGGCCGACTTAATTACCAAAGAGGCCGGGGAAGGGGCCTTACTGTCAAAGATGAAAGCATTCCTGGATAGCCAAATATTCCATAGGCAGTAGACTATCTTCCGGATGTGTGCCTCCCCCATGGTGTCTTTCAGATTGAAAAACCATGAAGCAAATGAAGCATCCATAGGCGGCACAGTGACAAGGAGCCCTGATAGGTTCCAAGTTTCTGAGGCATGCTGACAGTGGAAAAGACAGTGCATCATCGTTTCAGATGGCATCTCACATATTGGACATTTCAGATTGGGAGCACATCGGCAGGTGAAAAGTCGCTCCCTCGTCGCAATAGCTTTCTTAGCGCATTTCCATATGAAGAACTGCAACTTGGGAGGTAGAGCGAGGGAACACATCCACTTCCAATCTTCACTATTGGGGTGGCTTTGCAATTGAGGTGGATGGGTGGCATGCAAATCACGTGCTTCACGAAGGACATGGTAGGCCGAGCGGGCAGTATACTCTCCATTAACAGTGTGCTTCCAAGCCCAACAATCCCTCGATTCAGCAGGACCAATAGGGACTCGAAAGATAGCATCTTCGACATCCTCAGCGCATATGTTCCGTATAGCAGCAGCGTCCAAGACCGATCAATATGCCGAATCCAATCACTCACTCGAGAATCGGGGAGGTTTGGATCAACCAGGGAATAACCTTTTTTCTCTTCTTTTGTTGGGTTTTATTAACCTGCGTGGGAGTCTTTGGCTTATCTTCCCAACAAATTTCTCCATTCTAGAGAAACTTTGTAATCAATTTAGTTTTTCAACTGTGTGGGGTTTTTATTAAATATGATTGATTACTACACATGGATAGGGATGACAATTTTGCTCAAATCCATTAATATTTTACTATCTAACCCAATTAAGTTGGGTGAAATTCAAATATATGGTAAATTGGTACATCTATTTATTGGATTTTTTATCCTTGAATTTGGGTATGTACATGTACCCATACCCATACGAAAAATTATATTTTATTACATAAACTTAATAGACTTTTAGATTTAATACTTTTTTCATACAAGTCTTTAAATTATCAATGGAATTACATTTTCATTGATTGTGGCGTCTTCGGTGCACTCACTTTATTGGGTGCATTATTCAGTGCACTCGCTTCATAACCGTTATTTTAAACATGTGATTTATGTCAAAATGATGTTAATCATCACTTATGATGTGATGAACAATAACGCACATGAATTTGCACAAAACCCATTAAAGATTTACTTTAATTTGAAGGATTTAGAGTTTAGAGATTTAGGGTTAGGGTTAGGGTTTATAATTTGGAATTTAGGGATAGAACTCAAAACTGGAGGTCTAGAGCTTAGGATAATCCGCTAATTAGTTGTTATCATATGTTATATCATCATATTACACTAATTCTACAAATTAAAATTCAAAATCCGACACCTTAAGACTAGTTTTTGAGTTGGATGCATTGAACGCACTCATTTTTGTGAGTGCACCGAAGTAGTCACCTTTCATTGATAATTTTATGGTTTACAAATAGGTCCAATTTTTGTATGTGTAGTTAAAACAAACTAAATGGGCATTCAGGTATTCATACATCCATACCCATTCATAGTATGACAACAATATTCATACCCTACCGCCCTACCCAAACCCATATACAAAACCTCAAAGGCTCAAACCCATATATACGTCACTCATACTAACTCTACACATACTCGAAGCGTTTACATGGGTGAGTAAAATTACCCATAGGTGGATAATTTCCATCCCTACACATGGATACTCAAATTATTAATTTGTTTTACATTTGTTATTAATATTTGCATTGCATTACTGATCACTAACTTTACTGGAGAAAATCTCCTTTTAAAGAAAATAGTATTTTTGGTCTCAAATTTATTTTAGCTAATTGTGGATCTCAAACTGCTAAGGTAGTAATAATCTAATAATCACATACCCAATTGCCACAGCAAAGCGTGGCACATACAACCTAGTTGATATAGAAGCTGAAAACAACAGTAATTAAAGGGAATGCATTTGAAAGGACAAAGGGACACTTCAACTGTATAGAGGTAGCTCATACACTTGGAACCAACACGTTTTCATTTTGTTTTACAATAGAGAAGGGCATGTGATTCCAAGTAGCAACAAGGGCAAGGGGCTGCCCATTCTATTTCTAGCACCATTCCTGCATTGTGGATCGAAAATACAAGCAGTGACCACTAGGGAGAGAGCAGATAGGCTCATTTGTTCACTGTTTCAGTTCAGTTTGACAAGCTTAGTTCAAAAGAAATCGAACATATGCAACTCGACGTCCCTTGTATAGTCAAATTACTTCCACAGCTTCCTCAACGACATGTTCTTCTCCGTCTCCTTCTTCATGACCTTGGCCACCGCCATCTCGAAATCTTCCTGTGTTACGTGCACCCTCCTCTCCCTAAGTGCAAACATTCCTGCCTCTGTGCACACCGCCTACCAAATGCAAAACGATTCACATCAGCATGAGACTCACAGGAAGGATGAGGGGGAAAGAACACAAGAGGTGTGGCATAAGATTAATTTTATCTTACCTTGAGCTCTGCACCGGATGCCCCGTTCATCTTTTCTGCTATCTTTTTCAGGTCAATCCCACGCATCAAGTTCATTCTCCTTGAATGGATTTTCAAGATATCCCAGCGAGACTGCAAGTTAGCATGATAAGAAAAGTTAATATCTTTGAACTGAGGAGGAGGAAATCAAGGACATGAGATTGGAATTAGTGTACACACGTCTTCGTTAGGATTGGGGAACTCGATCTTCCTGTCGATTCGTCCAGGCCTGAGTAGAGCTTGATCAAGGATATCGATACGATTAGTGGCCATCAGGACCTGTAAGAAAAATAAGAACAGAAGATCTGATCAGAGAAACAGCAGCCAATAGTGTGCTTAAACAAATTTCATTCTCATACAAGTTAAGGGTTGCAGTACCTTGATCTTGTTAGATGCTTCAAATCCATCGAGCTGATTGAGTAGCTCAAGCATAGTTCTCTGCACCTCACTATCACCATTGCCACTTCCTGATTCCATTCGAGCAGACCCAATACTATCAATTTCGTCCATGAAGATGATGGAAGGTGCATGCTCTCTGCAACAGAATCAATGCAAGAAAACCAAAATGCATAAGTTTATCTCTCGAACGAGAATAATCGTCCAGCCATAATAAAACTGAATCAATTGGCAGCATCAGTTGCACAACACATTCCATAAAGAATTCCACCATCACTAGGAAAGGAGGGCTCATTTGTACATGGTCAAATGGATCAGTTCTCATACAATAGGAATAGTCTGTTTACAGAAGAGAAGTACCTTGCCATGACGAAAAGTTCTCGAACCATTCTGGAGCCTTCACCAATGTATTTCTGAACTAATTCAGAACCAGAGACCCTGATGAAAGTGCAGTCAGTGTGATGGGCAACAGCTCTAGCCAACAGAGTTTTCCCAGTTCCAGGTGGACCATACAGAAGGACACCCTATGATAAGGACAATAAAAACAAGACAAAATTAGAATCTCAGTTAAAGATTCTATGCAAAACAGGTTCATAAGCCGCAATATTTATCACAATAATCTACATACCTTTGGTTGAGCAATTCCAAGGCTCTCGAACAATTCAGGATGCTTAATTGGAAGTTCAATGACCTGATTTGACAATACCGAGAAAGAAGAATAACAAATCAGCCTTGAACAATCAAAATTACAGATTAGGAGCCAGCACACTGTAACAAAAGGCCAACTAACCTCCTTCATCTCTTTAATCTGTTGATCAAGCCCACCAATCATATCATAGGTAGAATCTGGAACCTTTTCAACTTTCATAAGATTGACCAAAGGATCCACCTTGCTGGGCAACACAAGGTGAAGAACATAGCTGTCATTACGAAGAGCCACCCTTGTCGAAGGCGTGATCTTCGTGATGTCAATACTTTTGTCAATATCCACAACGTATTTCCCCTCTGGATGGACCTGAAAAGAACACCAACAGAATAATGTTCAACACCACCTACCTCAGACACATAAAGGAACGCTTAGCCACAATGACAAACAGCAGAGAACCGTCAACGACTAGATTGAGAATCAAGTCTCCAATAAGAAGCACTAAGAAACAAGTCAAAGCACTGAGACCAACACTAAAAAGAAAAGGAATCACTAGCTGGTCTCATTCTAATTCCATTCCAATTGCAGAAGCTACATCAGACAAATCGTCATGGCATCACAGGCTTTTACAGACTAGCATCCGTGAAAGCATAATGCAATAGCAATCAGCTGGACTGCATTAGATAGCAGCAGCAACCAATCTCCGTTCATGGAAAGATCTTACCTTTACTAAGACCTTATTTTTGCCCATCACTTTGACAACTTCCCCGACGTAAGATCCAGGCTCCTGAAGCAGCTGCAGCTCTTCCCTTAGCATCCTCACTGCTCACAAACAAAGTCGAACACCGTCAAATTACCCGCCAAATTGAGAAATCGGCCTTCCCAAAAACGCCACAAAACCCTATGTCCAATGAATTTAACAGGCGACTCGATGATACACGGGAGGACAAAATTAGGGCTAGAAGAAACGAGAAAAAAGTTACGAGATCGGAGCAGTCACCTCTAGAATTGAGCTCATTCCGTTGCGCTTCGAGACGATTGAGATTGTGACTCTTCTGCCGAACCAAGAGCTGGAGCTCGTGGATGTGTTGCTGGTAATATTGCTTGAGCCCTTCGCCCTGCTTGGACACGCCCTTGACGGAAGAAGCCTGATCTCCTATCGATGAATCCGGTCGCTTCATCTCGACGGCAGCAGTCGCCATTGTTGAAGAAGAGAGAGTACGGAGCTGGCTTTGAGGGACTGCTTTCTCGTTCTCCGATTACAGTATTTGGGGGAGAGAGCAGATTTTTGTATCAGAGATTTCTTCGAAATCAAGCCAGGGGGATGGAAGGAAGGGACTGAGAAACTGGCTACCGGTACAGCCTATATATTTGTATCCGTGGATAATGCTTTTCATTTTTGGAAAAGGTTGACAGCTGGACGGTCGGATTTAGAGTGAAGGAAAATATGCGGTGGATGACAGTGGCTGGAATCGGCGACTTGTTCAGCCCGTCTTTCGAACTTTTGTGATTTCCTTTTCCTTCTCGAGTTTTGTTTTCTTAAACTCCGTTAGCGTTTTAGTTTTCACTTAATTTATATAATGTTTGGTATAAATGAATTTCATAAATTTTAAGATATCATTTTAAAATGAAATCTATTTTTGTTTGGTATTTAAAAGAATTTATTTTCAATTTTAAATTTTGAATTCTACGGAATTGGAGCTAGCTATAGCAATTCCGAGGAATTGAGATGGAATTTTCAAATGAATTCCACAAAAATTTACTAATTATAACAAAATTACATAATTATTCTCATTTATTAACTAAATTAATTCTACATGTATTATTTGACGCCAGTTCATGCAGTATGAAGAACGTCGGCAAGAATTCGATTGCAGCGCTAGTAGTATATTCTGGTTATTTGATATTTCTGTTTTGATTATATCAATATGTTAAGAAGCCACAATTAGAATGTAGGGTTCATTGGCAAAATATCGAAAGAACTAATGAATAGAATAGAAACACACAAGAACACTTTGATATTCTACGTATGGGACCAAAAACATTTTTTAGAAGATGGATTTTCAATGAATATTGTTTCTAACAAAAATTAATAAGGGTGTAGTTGGAAACTTTTAATTCAATTCAATTACAAATGTACGCTAAACATGGTTTGGGAATTTAATTCATTTTATTTCTTAAGATTTGAATATGACATACCAAACAAAAGAATTCATTTGACAATGAATTCTATACGGTAATTTATTTTAAAATGAAATGAATTCTAGATTCATTTGATACCAAACGGTAATAGTCAATTGTATTTAATCTAATCTAAATTAAGTTTAGTAAATAGTAAAATGGTTTCGCAATTTGAGTGTATACCATACACATCTTAAGTTAACCCAAAAATAAAAGTGCAAACCATACACATCATAACACAAGCAAAAACACAAAATATTAGAGGGCTCTCTGGCTCGGAAGTTCTTCAGCGATCAAGTTAGTTTCGAAATTTTTTAGAGAGAGAAGTATTTTGCTAGCAAGAGAGAGAAAAACCAACCATCTTAAATGTGATATTACATTTCCATTATCTTTAGTAAGAATGGCATCCAAAAAACTCATGTAGATCCATCGATCGCAATCGTCCCCCATTAAACGCTTACTAATTCCCTACTAGGGGGTGACATTCGACAAAGAGGGAGTGAGATGCGCAAAATGGTAGCAACATGGACACAAGTTACAACTTGACTTGCAAAAGTCACGGTCTAGGCCTTGACTTATGACATAGAGGGTGACTTGGGATGTTCCAATTCCCAAAATGACGCGATTCTTTTTTTCAATGTCACGACCTTGTTCCCCATGAGGTGTCCCGACACTAAACATGAGTGATACATTGACATCATTTCATGTTCTTAACACACCTGACCTTATTTGTCATTGTCCAATATTGACCCGATCACACGAGCCCAAATCGATATATCCTCTTCGATTTTGGAAGAGTGGTGCGAATACTTCCGTGTTGGACCTCCTGTCACAATCTTTAGGTTGTGTGAGACTATGAGATGGGTTCTCCTTATCTTGAGCACAAGAACTACCCAAATGTTGATTGAACTCGTTGAACCGAGTTCCGTTTTGCTAAGATGCTATCTCTCAAGGGTGAAAAGAATGATGCTCTACTGATTCATTCATCCAATGACGAGGCATGAAATGTTATCATTACAAGCCAAAACAGAGTTTTAAACAGCTAAGTACATAAACCAAGCAAAAGCCACCCGCCATAACCAAAGCTCTTAGCCGGCGCCCCAATTAGGGGAGAGCCCAATCAATGAGAGTCTCCAATCTCCATAGCAATGTTATCACCCAACAAGAATTGTGAGAAGATGGAGTGAACTTGACGAGGCAATTGTAGGTTGGGTGACGACAATTCGAACCGAGTCAAATCGAATGAACTAAACGTGTTTTTGATTCAGTTATAGTCTTCAATTTTCCTTCAATTTTGGTTCGGTATTATCTCCATTCTCTCCAATTCTAAATCGAATCCACCCCGAATCTTTTGGACTTTCCTGAAGTGTTGGGCAATGGAAGCCAATTGAAAGGAAGCACATGTGGATACGGCTCGTTAAGTGTCTCCGGCCCAGTAAATTCGGTGCAAATGGAGGCCCAATCGGACAGTACTGCAAAACCCGGGCCCAGAAAAGGCGGCAACCGGAAAGTCAGCCGGAGCAATGGGGGCAGGCTATAAATTAGCAGATCCGTCGCCATGGGAACTCTGCGCCTAGCCCCTGGAGGAGTCACTGCTCTCTGGCCGAGGAACCAATTTTCTTCTCCCCCCACAACAAAAAGAAAATTCAAAAATACAAAAAATATTTACGGCAGAGCTCTCTCGTAGATTCATTTCCTTAGAGCTATAGCTAGGGTTAGGAGGTGCCGATTCAAAAAGGATCACCGGGGGACGTATTTCCCACCTGTGCCAAATTTACTTCTTCTTCTTCTTCCACTGCTACTTCTACCCTTCTTTTTTCAATTTCAAATCGCTGTACAAACAGAAAGACGACTTCTTGGTTTCCTCTAATCTTCGTTGCTCGGCTGATCGGTACAGTTTCCCCAATTTTGTTGGGATTTGGATAAATTTGTGGATATTTTTTAGGGTTGAAGAATTTGCCGGATTTCTGGAGAGAAAGGGATCGTTTAGGGATAAAAAAGGAGGAATTTTTGTTAGGCATTTTGCTAGTTTCTTTTCGTTATGGATAAGAAGAAGGTTGCCGTTCCTTTGGTCTGCCATGGCCATTCCCGGCCGGTGGTGGATCTGTTCTACAGCCCGACTACTCCAGATGGTTTCTTCCTGATCAGTGCCAGCAAGGGTAATGATCATCTTCCCTTTAGCTTTGCGCTAAATTCCGAATTGGGTTTTTATTCACGGTGTTGAATTTTTTTGCTGGCAAGACTGTTATTGCAGGAATGTGGGGCAAAATTCTTGTTGTTATGTGTCCACTGTTGGTCACTGAGGGTTGTGTGTCCATTGTTTTTGGAAGTGATTAGCTAGTATAGATGATTGTAACTAAGTTGATTCAATGAAGGGTTGCAGCAAATACTTGCATATGGGACCTTATGGATGATTGTAATTAAGTTGAATCAGTGAAGGGCTGCAGCAACTATTTGCTAAGGAGCAAGTTTGATTATTCAAATGCTTGTGCTGTTGGTAATGGGATTGATTGGTTTCCATTTTCTAATCATAAGGATCTTGTTCTTTGTCTCTTCAGATTCTAGTCCCATGCTTAGAAATGGAGAAACTGGAGATTGGATTGGAACGTTTGAAGGGCACAAGGGTGCAGTGTGGAGCTCCTGCTTGGATACTAATGCTTTACGTGCTGCATCTGCTTCTGCTGATTTTACTGCGTGAGTAACATGTTTTTCGTTGATGTATTTATGTTTCTGGTTTCTTCACTCTTTCTTCTTCTGTTTTCTCTTCCCCCCTTGGGTGATCCCAAAATTTGTTCTCCTGCATTGGCTTGTTTACATGGCAGCACAATACAGTTAGCCCCCTTCTAACATTTTCGCATGAGTTTTATATGAATGTGATGTCTTTTGTGGCTAATTATGAAATAGGGTCTCAGTTTTTATGGCGATATATGTAGTTGTCTTAATTTTTGTTCACTTTAACTTATCTTATGATGAACAACCTTGCTTCTATGTGTGATGTTACTTGTGATATATGACTTTTGGATTTGGCGGAGTTGAGACTAACTAGTTTTAGACTACTGTTCAATATGCAGGAAAGTATGGGATGCTTTAACGGGGGATGAACTGCATTCCTTTGAACACAAGCACATAGTTAGAGCTTGTGCATTTTCAGAGGTACATATGCACTTCCGTCTTTCTCCAGATTTTTATTGATGAAAAATCTTGTTTACAATGTATGTTTGATGACATTGTCCACAAAAAATTAGCTTAACTACACAGATGCACAAATAGCTGGCATCATTGTCCTTTCTCAGTGATCTGCATCTATTTCTGGTTACATCTCATCTTGAGCTTCCAATTTCGCCTCCAGGACACTCATCTTCTACTTACTGGTGGACTAGAGAAAATCTTGCGCATTTATGATCTGAATCGCCCAGATGCACCTCCAAGAGAAGTTGATAAATCCCCTGGTTCGGTTAGAACTCTTGCTTGGCTGCATAGTGATCAGACCATTCTGGGTTCGTGCACTGATATGGGTGGTGTAAGGTGTGCTTCTTATTCTTCTTAAGTTAACCCAGAACATTGCATCAACTAATTCCTTCTTGGACAAGACATATCTTTGTTTGTCCATTGTGACTAATATCTACCTTGTTCGTGACAGATTGTGGGACGTAAGAAGTGGTAAGATAGTGCAAACCCTTGAAACCAAGTCATCAGTGACAAGTGCAGAAGTCAGTCAGGATGGTCGCTATATCACAACTGCTGATGGTTCAACCGTTAAGTTCTGGGATGCGAATCAGTAAGTTCTCTCCGACAGTCACTCAGCCTGAGCCAACACCTTTCTGATCGCTCACAGCTTCTTTCGTTTTGTGTACTTTGTCGTAGTTTTGGGCTTGTGAAAAGCTACAACATGTCATGCACTGTGGAATCGGCTTCCTTGGAACCAAAGTACGGGAATAAGTTCATTGCCGGGGGAGAAGACATGTGGGTTCACGTATTTGACTTTCACACAGGGCAGGAAATAGGTACATTCTCCATTTCTCTGGATCTACTAGTAATCGGAAGTGTGTGTCAAATATTTGATTATGGCAGCACTCTTATTCTGCATTTTCCAAAACGTTGATGTGTAGCTTGCAACAAGGGCCACCATGGTCCAGTCCACTGCGTGCGGTTTTCACCAGGAGGGGAATCATATGCGTCGGGGTCAGAAGACGGGACCATCAGGATATGGCAGACGGGCCCACTAACGAATGACGAGAGCGAAGGCGGGGCGGCGGCTACAGCGGCAGCAGCCAATGGAACCGTGGCGGGGAAGGTGAATGTGGGTGCTGCAGAAGAAGTTTCTAGGAAGATAGAGGGGTTTCACATTAGTGGTGACGAGGGGAAGACTAAAGAGAAGGATGAGGCAGCAGGGAAAGAGTGATGTAACTCGACTCACATACACCATCGGCCCGAGTTAGGCCAGACCCACTTGTTCTTCTTTGTTATCTTTTCCTTCTGCGCCCCTCTATTTTCTTGATCTCTCATTTTGTATCGTTTCTTTTTCTTCTCTGCCTTATGGAAATGGTGCTGAACTGAAACAAGGTTTGATGTTTGGGCTTTGGTCAGTCATCATGATATTTGGGAGGGTTAAAACTTGAAAGAAGACACTGACATTTTTGTACAAGCTTCTTCTATCTTTAGCAACACAACGCCTTGATATATGTAAAACAGCCGCGGGGGAATGGGGAAGCTCAAAAGGCTGTTTGCAATATGGTTTCACGATGTGAATTCACCTTCATGTTTTGGTTCCACAAAATGTCGAAGCTTCATCTATGCATCATCTATGATCTAACTTCAATACTTCATCAATGTCGAAGCTTTTACTCGCTGTTTCGGATTAACTTACAAGATCGTACCATGATCATACTTCAATCCAATCGGTTCTGTAGTGGAAGTATTTCTCTTTGTGGAAGAAATGAAAGAAAGACAGAAGTGGCAGAGGGAGAGCGACCCAAAGTAGATAATATGAATGAAAAGACAGGGCTAATTCAGTCATTGTAGAACTTCTGAGGCGCTTTTCTCTTTATATTTTTCTTCCTCCCTCCGCCTTCCCGACTCCTTGGCCATCGCGAATCCTCAATCCATCTCCATTTGAAAGAGAGAGACTGTGAGAGACTCTGTACGGTGCTGAATAGACTTTCACTGACACAACGCTCCATCCTTTCATTGCATCTGGGCTCTCTTAATTTCGATTCTTGCTTCCGTCCCTTCTGCCTTAATCCGAAGAAGAAAGGAAGAAGAAAGTTTCGTTGGCGGGAAAAGAAGATGTCGGGGAAAGGAGCAAAGGGTTTGATTATGGGAAAGGGAGCTGCTGCTGCTGCGGCAGCTAACAAGGACAAGGATAAAGAGAAGAAGAAACCCACTTCTCGTTCTTCTCGTGCTGGTCTCCAGGTTTCGTCCCCTACCCTCTTCTCTTGTAGATCTTCCCCCCTCTCTGTTTGCTCGTTCCAGCTTTTCCTCTGTATCTTGCTCTCTTCTGAGATTTGCGTCATCTGGGTTTGAATTAGGTTGCCTCTTTTTCGCCGCTCACTTCGTTTACTTGTCTTTTCTCTGGTTCTGCGGACTATTTTTTGGTATCTAGGGCGTTGTTTACGGTAGAAGATTGTGGTTGAATCTTGCTTTGATTCGAAGTCAAATAGCAGAGTCTGTTGGACATAGGCTTCTCTAGTTCGTTTGCTTATCTTTTATTGTAAAAGAGCCCAAGTTGGAGTGCCGTTTTCTCGACCTCTTTGTTGTCTGAATCCTTCCAAGTTCTTTGAAGACAGAGATGCAGTGCCCTTTGATTTGCGCGGAGTCTTTTAGTACACTGTAATTGTTTGGCCCTGCAAGATGTTGTGGTTTGTGGTGGGTTGGTAGTAAAAAATGCGTAGTTCTTGTTTGCTGTATCAAGGATCATTTGGAGTGGTACCAGCTTGACAGCTTTTGGTTGCCATTTGGTGCTTTTGCTGATAGTGGTACAAGTTCTTGAAAACCTTTTCCCCATCCAGCTGAGTTAGATTCATTTCCCTTAGTTTAGAGAAGAATTGGTTCTGAGTGCTGATGCTGTGACCAAGCTCCTTGCATTCAATGTTCGTTGCAGATGCTAGAAAGTTGGGTCCTGCTCCTGCTATTGCCAGTATAATGATATGAGGCATATAAATCGAGTCATGTGACCTCTTACAATATCACATACTAAGTTGCCCTGAATGATCTTTTCTGTCCGGTTAATTGAGTCTACTGAACTAGTATGGTGTTATATATCTGGCAAGCCTAAAGAATGAGATCAGTTTGAAAATTAGCTGAAAATAATGTAATACGATCAGTCGATCACAGTTATAAACGTTCGCTATGTTGGGGATGTCACAAGCAGAAACCTTGATATTTGGATTGGATGAATCTAAATCGCTAGGAGTATTTTATGTGAGTTTGAATGATAGTTTGACATATTATCTTTTATTTTTTTTCCCTCTCTCGCCTGAACAAGGAAAATAGTTGATCAGCATGTTAGTTTGATGTATAAAATTTTGTAAGTTGCAGAGTCGGTTGAAAAGTCTTTCTAGTGGCTTTGCTCATTGGTCGGGTATGTGGAATGTGAACTGCACTGCGATGTTCTTATGCAAGTGTTTAGATTCTTTCACATTATTGTAGGTGTTGCTCATATCCTCGAGATTTTGACGTGACTTTCTCCCCCAAATGTCCTTGATATTTGAATTTCTTGTTCAAGGGGTGCACTGAGAAAGTGAGAACTAGCCATGTCCTGTGATCTTGTTTAGATTGAATTGTTTAAAGTAACCCAAGGCAGTTTTCAGGCGCTTGTTCTGTTACATCATAGTTTTGTGACTCATTTTGTGTTATAGGGCCTTCATTTTTCATTTGCCAGTGCATGTTTTACAAGATAGTTTTGTTGTCTGTTACGTAAGCCTGTGTTTATTGCTCATTAGAGCCCGACTGAAAGTTGAGAGATTGAGGTTGAATGGTTCTCAATTTTCTCTTTGTTGGATAACTTTGCAGTTTCCAGTGGGCCGTATCCATCGCCTCCTGAAACTACGAACAACAGCTCATGGGAGGGTAGGAGCTACAGCTGCTGTCTATTCCGCCGCTATTCTCGAGTATCTGACTGCAGAAGTACTGGAATTGGCTGGGAACGCAAGCAAAGATCTGAAGGTGAAACGTATAACTCCAAGGCACTTGCAGCTAGCTATCCGTGGTGATGAAGAGCTTGATACCCTAATCAAGGGTACCATTGCTGGCGGTGGAGTCATTCCTCACATCCACAAGTCCCTCATCAACAAATCATCCAAAGAATAGAGAGCGTTTGTAGAAGCAGCATGCGTGCAAACACACCTGAGATTGTTCTTCTGATGTTTAGAGATTTACCTCTTAGACTGTTAATTTGTCCCCCCAGCGAGTTTGGAAATCCGTTGCCATGGAAAATGTCAGACTTGTGGATCTTGTTAGGTTGTTTTGGTTGTTGCAGGATGGTTATGACTTTTAAGCAGATTCGATATGGCCATATTTTGTGCTTAGTGAGATCTTAATGATTTAAGTTCTCTTAGAGGATTCGACTGTTGCTGCTAAATTATCTTTGGAATGTAATGAAAATGAATATGTTGTCTAATCTAATATAATCTAATCACAATGGGATGTTTAGACTACCTTGTTTAGGTGCTTTTTTTGTTGGCATTTACATGGCTGCTTGCAATTGACGTTCCCAAGTTTGGTGGAATCAAATCTGCCATTCAAACGATCATAAGAGAGCTCTCTGGAGGTGCATCGCCCTGGGTATATCCTGGGCTCTTGAACGACGCTGAAGTTCACCAGAACAACATTTTGAGTGAACAGAGATTAACACTGATTCAAGCAGAAATCGAAGTAGAAGCCAAGTGGGAATCCCAACAAATGAAACCAAGTTACAGATCCTCAAAAAAGACCAACATGCCAATCAAGACTCTAGACTCAGCTACTCCCATATAGTTAGCCAGCCTTAAGCCTTAATGTACCAAAAGAATAATGCCCCTTAAAATCAATACACTCAGTCAACTCGAATTCGTCCCTCCCATCCAAGAATGTTAAAATCACACTAAACTGGATCTTGCATCACCTAACCAATCGTTGCCACCCTAGGAACATCGACCGGGAAGTTATCGATCTCAGCCATCCATGGATTCTTCTCCTTTGCAGGGTTAATAGTCCTCAAAGCCTTCCACACAGCACTGTTGCACTTGAACCCTGAACCAAACGCGATCTGCCACGTCCTATCTCCTTTCCTAATCCTCCCTTTAGCTTCTGAATAAGCCAACTCATACCACAGCGAACTGCTCGAGGTATTACCAAAGCGGTACAGAGTCATTCTAGATGGCTCCATGTGCCAGTCAGATAAGTGCAAGTTCTTCTCCAACTCGTCCAATACCGCTCTCCCGCCAGCGTGAATGCAGAAATGCTCAAATGCCAGCTTGAAATCAGGGATATACGGCTTGACCTTCATCTTCAAAAGTTTCTTCCCCACCAATGTACCAAAGAACAGAAGCTGTTCTGACATTGGAAGCACGAGAGGTCCCAAAGTAGTTATATTAGTCTTCAATGCATCCCCTGCAACTGCCATAAGATCTTTGGACAGAGTAACGCCGACTTTCCCATTAGCATCCTCTTCTTGAGTCACACAAGAGAAGCACTTATCATCAGAACCCTTATGAGTACGAACTGTATGAACGAGTTCATACTTGGACCTCCTTTTATCCGATCTCTTGTTGGAGAGCAAAATGGCAGCACCTCCCATTCTAAACAAGCAGTTTGAGACGAGCTTCGATCTATCATTCCCAAAGTACCAATTCAAGGTGATGTTCTCCATGCTGATTACTAGAGCATACGAATTAGGATGGACCTGGAGAAGATCTTGAGCAAGAGCTATGGAGATCAGACCAGCACTGCATCCCATGCCACCAAGATTGTAGCTCACAATATTACCGCGAAGCTTGTAATGGTTTATCACCATTGCAGACAGTGACGGTGTAGGGTTAAACAAGCTGCAATTCACAATCAGAATCCCAATATCTTTCGGATTAACAGATGTCTTAGCGAGAAGCTCATCGATAGCTCCATACATCACCGCCTCAGCTTCTCTCCTCGCCTCTTGCATGGACGGATTTGGAGGGACGGCCAATACAGCATCAGGGAGATAAGTGTTATCCCCTAAGCCAGATCGTTCTAGGATCTTCTTCTGGAACTCGAGGCTTTCTTCTGCGAAAGATCCGGCCAGACGAGATCGATCCATGAAGATCTTTTTGGTGCATTGGAGCGACTCATCGGGCTTGTAACACGAGAAGTTGACGAGGTAGACGGGTCGAGGGCGTGTCATGAAGTAGAGTGTGAAGAGGAAGACCATCAAGGTCGAGCAGACAATCACTGAGATGAGATTGTACTGGAGATGTTCCCATAACTCGTGGAGATCTTCGAAGGAGAAAGTTGAGAGCTGAGCTGCGAGAACGACCACTAGTGGGGAAAGGAAGAGGTACATGCCATGAGTGATGAGGTAGTGGTAACCGAGCTTCACGTATTTCAGCTTCACGGATTTCTTGAAATCTGGGAGCTTTCGAGACGATGATGGCTGGATCAAGGGTTTGCTTGGTTGAGTCTCTGCCATCTTTTCCCCCACTGCAAACATTAAGAGCAACCCCTAAATCAATCGACAAATTCAGCTTCGACCTATTGATTCAACCAAATCCCTAAATCTGTCTATTGCATCGCAGATTCAAATCTAAAGCCAGATTCACGATGGAGTCCTGAATTTTCCCAAGAACAGATCGAAACCCAGAAACCAATTCTGTTCATACTACAAAGATTCGACAAACCCACTAAAAAATTGGACAAGAACTGTTGTCAAAGTAAAAAAAGAGATGAGATTGGAAAACTCCGCACCTTGACCAGCTTGGAAATGGAGCTCAGAGATCGCCCGATTCTCCTCCCAGGAGAAAGAGAGAGACCCACCAAGAGACGGATCCAAAATGGATGTGAGAAATGACTATATATATAGATAGAAAGAGAGACAGAGCAAGCTGCTTCCGAACTTCAAAATTTTCGCGGCGGAGAAAAACAGAGTGTGAGGAAAACCCGAAAAAGGGTGAAGATAGAAAGATCGGGGGAAAAGGGTAAGGAGATAATAGGCGCCGTCAACGACTCTCAAGCCAATTTATAGGGCAGGGAGAAAGGAGATGGTGGCGGCGGCTGGCGGGGCGCGGTGGCGATGATTTAGAGGAGGAATAGAATATGGACAAGGGGTGTGGTGGTGGAAGAAGAATACGCGTTTTTTCTCTCTGTGGAGAGAGTGTTTAAATGCGGAGGGAGTGGGGGAATTGTTGGGCGCCAACTGGATCCTGTTGTTTTCTTGTTTTCTTTGCTTGTTTTTATTCGGTTTGTCCGGTTGACTGGCCGCGGCGGCCGCCGGCGAGTTGGTGATCGGGCGATAGCTTTGGATAACCAAACCAGGGTGGAATTTTCTTGTTTTAACGTTTCCTGGAAGTGACTGATAACTCTAAACAAGAAACCCAATGTAGTTTTTTCATCTCTGTATTTTGGTTGGCAAAAACAACGAGGATGTATAGTTTCTTGTTGTAAAAGAAGCCGTATGAAACGATTCTGGGAAGAACTTCGAAGTACAGAGATCATGGTTGGGGTGGACATTTCCCTTGGATTTCGGATTCAGCAATTTAATCTACTTGATTGACATTGTTGAGTTGTCCTCGAGCAATATTGATATTCGGCAAACCAATCTCCTTAACATCCGAGAATTAAATTATATAGTTTTGAGATTCATAAACTCAATCTTTTCATTAGTGTTTATCGGATGACAGTTCCTGAGCTTGATATTCAAATATTTAATCTACTTAACTGTTGAATTTGTTGAGTGAAGGTTATTTTGAGATGATTTGGGCATTGGAGAAGTACTTTATATTCGTAATTCAAGTGTGACACACTCAAGTCGAGCTAAAAAAATAGATCTAATTTGAGTATTTTTCATATTATACAACCAGTTCTTTTGCAAGAATAATATGATTATTTTGAGTATTTTCAACTAAAATTATCAATAAACAATAAAGATAAGCTATCTTGTCGTCACATACATACTCATCTCAATAGCAAAATTAACATTATTGGAAATCACGAGAACACGAGATAATGAACCGCATTATCATTACCGTGGCCCTCCAAAGACCCATCATAAACTCTAATGATAGAGATAGTCTATCATAAAATTACTTTCTCGATGAACATTTTAAATTGAATATCACAGCTAAAACATTTCAAGAACACCTAATCTCTTTCCATTTCAATTTTACACGAAAGGTGTCTTATTCAAAGTGATGATATTATTAAGTCCACATTTGTCCACTTTGATCATCACATGGACAAAGGTGATGGGCCAGTTATTTGCAAGTCACATGGCAGGATCAGATGCTTTCCTTTTTCTAATTAGATTAGGTAGCTCGTGGATAGGATGTTGTTGGTGCCAAGTTCCTCTGGTCTCACCTTCTTCGATCTCAACCCCTTCAAACCCAGTATAGGCGCCTGGAATCTGCAAGGACAAGCGCCTAAAGGGCTGGGAAATGCCCGTTAGCACTCCGACGCCCAAGTTAGAACTGAGTCTAGAGAGAGAAGTCTAAAATCGGGTTTTAGTGTGAGAAGCCAACCTGCGTAAATGCTGTCGACTGCCCCTATTTATACTCACCGAACCCGAGGTTGATCTTTGCCACGTCACCTTCCTCATTTAATGCTCTGCGCCCTCAGACAGCTAACTGCCCTGTCAGACTCCTGACATCTGACTGGTATTCCACAGCTCTGTCAGGCTCCTGACATACGACAGGCGCCCGCAGGCCGTGGTCCACCAGCCAGCTGGTCACCACCTGGCTTTTGGTGCTCTGTGAGACAGCTAACCGTCCTGTCAGACTCCTGACACCTGACAGGCGCCCGCAGGCCGTGGTCCACCAGCCGGTTGGCCGCCACCTGGCTCTTGGTATTTTACTCTTGAGGTCCCTTTTCTTGGGCCCGAGGGCCATTAATGAGTATTGGCTCTTACCCTTTTGGGCTTTGTCCCTTAGCTCTCTCTTTGGGGAGCCCAATCTCCTAGCTCGCTGGGTAATACCCCCAACAATTGCCCCCCCCAGTTAGGTGCTCGTGGCTTCGTCATCGAGCGCCTGACTGAACCTTTAGTTGTAGCCCAGCCTTCTGCTTAGTTGCAGGGCGCTTGTCACTCGGCGCCTGCATCGTGTTCTCACTTCTTTCTTGGTCCTACGAGGCGTGTTTGCCTCTCCTCCTCCGCGGTCAGGCGTCCCGCCTGCGGCTGTGTCCCTTATCGAATGCTCTTCCAGGTGTTTCTGTGCCCCTTGCCTGCCGAGGCAGCCTCTTTCCCAACGGGGCGCCTTTTTGACTAACCCTCCCTTTCGGGCGCTTCATGGTGTCGTTCTTGACGAGTGTCCTTATCCCTTGTGCCCCCCTCACCCACACTTTGCTTGTCGGGGAAATTTGGATAAAAGAAAATTCGAAATTCGAAATTCGAAATTCGAAATTTGGGAGTTGAGAAATTTCCCCGAAAAGGAAAGGGTGGGGGAAGCCCAAAGGTCCGCCTGTGATTTGGTGGCTCGCGAAAAGACCAAAAGGTGGGGGGAGCGGAAGGGTTTCCTTCGGCATGACTGACACGTGTCATGCGACGGGTGAGCCTTCGTTTTTCTTTAAATACCCCTCCCCCCTTGTGATGCTGTCACTTTCTTCTATTTGTCATCTCTCTAGAATCTTGCTCTGACTTCTCTCTAGCTTCCGCGCTGACCTCTGTCTTCTCTCTTATCTGTTTTTCGCGTCCAACACTTCACTCTCGTCCAAAAGATGTCGTCTTCACAACAAGACAAGACTGCTGCACCCGGCGCCTCGGGCGCGGGCGCCTCCGGCGACGGTGGTGAAGCAAGGCGCCCAGTTCAACGTGGTAAGTGGTCCTTTTCCTTTCGTCGATTTCGTTGAGTTTATTCTAGCCACTTAGGGTAGGGGCGTCACTTACCCCTTGTCCGCGTTGCGTCTGGGTCATTTGTTGGTTTAGAGCGGGCGTCTGCTTCCTCATCAGCTGGGCCGTCAAGTTCGTCGGCGCCTGGCTTCTTGCCCGCCGACGGGTCCTACAAGATCACGTCGTGGGAGAAGTGTTTCCCACCTGATCATTTGCCCACCGAGACGTCGCACTTATCATTTGAGGTGGCTGGACCCAACCACACGTCGACCGTCACCCTGGACCGGGTTCATGAATTGGTGACTAGTCTCCAGCTTCCCAGAGACTGGTGGTATGCGCCTCCATCGCCCCAGTCCCGGGTGGGCGTCTGTGGCCCCAAGTGGATCGGGCTCTATCAGGAGTACTTTCGTTTCGGGCTTCAGTTTCCCCTGGACTCGATCATGGAGGGAATTTTGACGACATGCGCCTGTCCTCTCGGGCTCCTATCCCCTTCAGTCATAACGGTTGTCATCCTCTTTAAGTTGAGGTGCCGAGAGCACAACGTGGAGCCCACCTTCAACTTGTTCAGATACTTCTTCAAGATGGTGCCTCTGGACAACTGCCTATCCCTCCAGAAGCGCAAGAAGAAAAGCTGTCCCCATCACTTTGTCAAGAAATGCCCTAAATTGAACCGAAGCTGGTTCAACGGGTTTTTCTTCGTGAAGGCCTATCAAGACTCCTTCTTTGCCAGTGGGGGCGCCTTTATGAGGACATGGAAGTTAGGCCATGTCGATGACTTCAATAAGCCGGTGGTTTTGACGGCGTCTGAGAAGGCGGGCGCCTCCTTAATTTGCGAGGGGGAGCCTGTTGACTTACGCCCCGCAGATAATCGTCCTCCAATTATTGAAGCTTATTATAACGATGGTGTGTAGGCGTCTAGGTGTTCTGCTTCCTTATCCCCTTGTTTGGGTTATGTACTAACTTACTTTTGTCATATGCAGGGGCGGACTACTCGAGTATTGCCAAGCTTATGAAAAGTAGGCTGGCGACCATGGCGGCGGAGGCGGCTGCGGCAGCCTCTTCCCAACAAGAAGCGCCTGCTCAGCAAGAGGCGCCCCTTCAACCAGAGGGACCTGCCACCCAATCAGAGGCGCCGGCAGCCGGCCCCAAGAAGAGAAAAGGGAAGAAGAGGGCGGTGAAGGGTGGCACCGCTCGGGCGCACACGGCAAGCGTGGCGTCTTCCGCCCCGGAAGAAGGCGAGGGGACGACTGATGTCGACCCCGCGGAGAAGGAGGTTAACTCCGCTGAAGAGGAAGAAGAAGAGGAGCCTTTGCTCCGAAAGGGGAAGAGGGCGGGCTCCCCCTTAACCTCGGCCAGCAAGAAGGCCGCAAGAGGGAAGAAGAAGGTGGGCGAGGAGGACGCCTGCGAAGAGGACGCCTTCGATGAGGTGGAAGTGGAGGCGGACTGTGGAGGACGCCCGCGTTCACTTGAATGAAGAGGGGCGCTACGTTGGCCCTGATGGGCGCCCCCCCATCTTCCGGCCACGGCGTACCGAGGTGGGACGGGTCAATATGAACTGCTCCCCCTTGGTCGCCGTTGACCGAGGGTGTGCCATGGGCTTGGCAATCGCGGCCGCCAAGTCCTGGCAAGTACCGTCCGAGGTGACCAGTGATCACCATTTTGCTGAATTGGCCCAA